GGGAGATGCTGATATGGCTATCCAGGGAAAGCTCTGGGAAAACCACTACATTTCCTGCACCAGTCTGCTACCGTGCCCTCTTGGTCACAGCTCTGAGTGTTAGGAGCAAGGTGCACAGGGGCCTCATCCAGCCTCTTGGGCGGCTGGCTCTGATTGCAACCCCAGAGCAAACCAGGGTTCAGACATCAAACTGCAGGGAACGAGGTGCGTGGCACCCCAGGGTAGAACACCCACAGGATGGCCAGCATTCCGTCATTTCTGCCTCACACGTGCATCCCTGCCTGGCTCTGCTCTGCTCCCCAGCCACACCCAGAGAACAAAAGCTGTCTGCTTCCACCCCAGAGATAAGGGGCCTGGCAGGCTGCAGAATGGGAGCTATTCAGTGGCATGAGATTCTGGTGCTGATCATAAAAGAATGGCAAACATCCACAGTGTCTGTCCTGTGGCGCAGGAGGGATTTAGATTCCTGTGGGCGACCAAGAGTGGCTTCTTTAATGCCAATGCGATTTCCCTCTGGGTATTTTTTTTTTTTTTGAGCTAGAACTTCCGTGACTATTTCACGTGGATTCACAATCGGTTTCTTAGGGTGGACCACCGGAGCACACCTCCAGGTGGCTATAAACCCGAAACACGAGCTGACAAGGTGCAAACAGTGAACTCTCACGATGCTGACTGATGGTTCACTTTCCTCCGAATCTCTTTTTGCTTTCTTCCTAGGTGCACCTCTTTGTACAACGTGGCTTGACGAACACCTGGGACAATGGATTGACACAGAAGTCTAGGAGAGCCGGATGGACTGGTTTGACCACGGTTAGCCAAGGCTTTCTTCCTACAGTGTCCCTTCTGTGAAGTCACAAAGTTACTGTTTGTATCACAGACTTCCTCAAGTGGTTACTTCTTCCCTGACGGTTCCTCTGATTAGAACAGGTGGAGTTTCTTTTTTTATTTTTAATTCATCCTCCTAATCTCTGAGTATTATTTATCTTGAATCTGCTTCATCTACTATTCAGAATGATTGCACTGATGCATACAATTTAGAAGGGAGTTGATTTAAATAAAGTTCATTTAAATTTAAATTTGGATTACTACGCTGAAAGATGGAAGGTAATGTTTGACTGCATCTCCCTATCTTTTATTTATTTAACTTTAATAAGGTTCTCAACTCATAACTGAAAGCAGTTTCATTTTTAGAAGGCCTATGCATTTTAAAATAAAAAGTGTAATTTTATTTCAAAGGCAGAGAGAAAGAGAGACAGACAGGGAGAGATCTTCCATCCACTGAATCACTCACCAAATGCCTTTCAAAGCCAGGGCTTGGCCAGGCCAAAGCCAGGAGCCAGGAACTCAGTCAGGCCAGGTCTGCCGCATGGGTGGCAGGGATCCAAGTACTGGGCCATGGTCTGCTGCCTCCCAGGAAGCTGGGTGGCAGTAGAGTAGCTGGGACTCAAACCAGGTACTCTGAGATGGGACGGGGTGTCCCAAACAAGGACTTAACTACTGCAGCACAAGCCTGCCCTGACACAATGCATCCAGTGGTGATTAGTTTAGTAACTTTTTCAGATTATGCTTGCTGTCTAATTAGGAAATGAAACATTCGAAAGAAAGAGTTCTGGATTATCGACAAGTTTTTGTTGTTATTCTTTTTCACCTTTCATTTGAAAGGCAGAGAGACAGAGACAGTGATAACACTGGTTCCCTCCTCAGATGCCCACAAGAGCCAGGGCTGGGCCTGGCTCAAGTAAAGAGCCCGGACGTCCACCCAGGTCTGCCACCTGCGTGCAGGAACACAAAGACTGGAGCCAGCACTGCTGCCTCCCACGCTGCACATTAGCAGGGCGCTGGGTGGGAAGCAGAGCCAGGACTTGAATCAAGGAGCTTTGATATGGGATGCAAGACTTTTTATGTATTTAAAATTGATTGATTGATTTAAAAGTCAGAGTTGCAGAGAGAGATGGACCGAGAGAGAGGAGGGGAGAGATCTTCCATCCACTGGTTCATTTCCCAGATGGCTGAAATGGCCAGCGCTGGGCCAGATCAAAGCCAGAGAGAGCCAGGAGCTTCATCTGGGTCTCCCAGGTGGGAAGAAGGGACCGAAACACTTGGGCCACCCTCTGCTGCGTTCCCAGGCCATTAGCAGGGAGCTGGATTGAAAGTGGAGCAGCCGACATCCACACGGATGCCAGCGTTGCAGGCGACAGCTTTACCGGCTCTGCCACAGCGCCAGCCCCAGGATGCTGACTCTTAATCACTGTCCAAATGCCCAGCCCCACTGCGAAGTTTAATCACCTCTGAGTCAACAGTTTAAACATGATTTTGTTTGGCACATTTTATGATTATGTTACTAAATCAGCCAACACACACACACACACAATGTGCACGTGGACGATTTATTGGATTAAAACAAAACATGCTGAAAGTTTTCAAGACACATAAAATAGTGACATTAGTAAACATCAGAGAGTAAATCTTTTTTACAAAATTTATTTATTTCTTCATCCAAAAGGCAGAGTAAGAGACAGAGAGTTCTTCCACCTGCTAGTTTCCTCCCCAGATAGCTGCAACGGCCATGGCTGGGCAAGGGAAGCAGGAGCCAAGAACCTCATCCAGGTCTCTCACATGATGGAGAATAAACCTTTCACCTCGACTCCCTGACTTCTTGGCTTCCAAAGACAGCACAGAAAGTCAGTCAGTCCTCACACTGGGGAAGGTGCTGTGGTGAGCAGTTCGAGCCCCGCTACTCTGCTTCTACTTCTAGCATCCTGCTAATGCACTGGGCCCCTGCACCCAACCAGGAGGCCCAGATGGAGTTCTTCAGCCTGGCCCAGCCCCTACTGCTGCAGGCTTCTAAAGAATGAACGAGCAGATGGAAGATCTTTCTTTTTCTCTTTCTGTCTCTCTTCCTCTCTCGGAGGCTTTGCCTTCGAGTACATGAAAGTAAATAAAAATAAATATTAAAAAAAAGCCCTCCAGTTTGCAGTCATTCCCTTGCAGAAATCATCATGAGGGACAAAAGACGTGTTGTTGCAGAATCTAATCTTGATGAACAGAAAAATGCCTGCAGTTTCAGAGTCGGCCGGGGTGTGTGGTGCAGGCTAACATGCTGGGAGAGTTCAGAACTTGGGCCTGGCTCAACAGACAGACGCCAGCGTGACCAAGCCGTGACGAGGCTCTCCACGGTGCACCTGAGGCTGCATGCTGGGCAGCTGATACCTGGTGGGCGGTTTCATTCTGTGGACACACTCTCCCGAAGGATGCTACCAGTGGACATTACTGCTGGTCCTTAGACAGTATCCTGTGCATGCACATGTGTGTGTACCTGTCCGTGCGTGTGTGTGTCTGTGTGCGTGTGTGAAATAACTGGAGAAAGGCAAAAGAGCTCTGCTTGGGGAGGCAGCTGGTCTCGTCCTTGAGGATGAACAGCTGGGTGCCTCTCTCAGAGCACGGCCAGCGGGCTGTGTCAGCTCCCTGCTGGCGGTGAGCTCCACCCAGGGTGTGCCGTGAGAGGACCCAGAGCTGCTCGGGGAAACACCACCATGCTCCTATGCAAAGCAAGAAGGAGAAACTTGAGACAACGTCCCCTCATGTCACCAAGTCCCAACCCCATCAGATCAGCAAAAGACAGAAGAATTACTGTTCTAGAAACTGGCAGACCTTGCTCTTATTGTCTATGCCTTCAGCTGTGTGAATGCAAGCTGGCTCTTGGAATCCTCGTTGCTATGAGAGGAAGCCATGTCCATGGTCACGGCAGCACAGGGGGAGCAGCCGGGAGCCGGTGGACTGTGGAACCTGTCAGCCTGAGATGTACCCCAGCGTCTTCCAACTGCAGTAAAATGATTTAGCTTCTCGGTGCCCAGATTCTTCGTCTGTACGGGAAAGAGAATAGCTCCTGTCTCACGCGGGTTGTTAGGGAAACAGCTACATACAGTCTCTTTAGAGCAGTGTGCAACACTCAGGAAGTGCTTGTGAGTATCTGCCACAGGTTTCCAGGGTCCGACGCTACGCCACTGGATATTAGAAATGATCAACAACTTGCATCCTTTTTCTTGATGTTTCTCAAGTTTAAGAGCCTTCAGGCATCAGAATTCTCATTGTAACTCCTTTCTGTCCCCATTTCTGCCCAAACAAGACCCCTGCCTCTAAGATGTCGTGTAGGCAGGGACACAAGCAGAAGAGTGTGAGGAAGAGGAGGGAGGAAGAGGGACAGCCGGCCCGGAGCAGGGCTGAGTGGTTGGTGCCAGCCGGGCAGGCCTGGAATCACTCACACTGATGCATGAGCTTGCTTCCCTGAGCAACAACACTGATTGGACCGCCGGTGGCGTCACTGTCAGCAGGTCCCGCCCTTCCCTCAGCTTCCACCTGTCTCACTCCTACCTTCTGGCTTCCCACCACTTCCCCAACTCCCTGGTGTCCACGCAGGTGTCCTGCCAGCACCGCACACCACACCCACCCCTGCTCAGACTCAACTGCCAGAGCTTAACTCTGCCTCCCTTCTGTAAATGAAGTAATGTCTAAGTTGCATTCTATCAACAACTCACGCTTTAAAGCTCCTTACAAAACAACACAACTCGGTTTTCCTTTAAGGCACAGTCAAGTTCAACTCCATGGTTACAGACTACTTATTTAAGCTAGGGTCCTTAGTTTAGAACATGCACTTCTTAGAACCTTGAGTTTTAGGACCGAGAGGGCGCTCTGAGGCCACGGTAGCATTTCTGGGATGAGGAGGCTGAGTGGTGGGTCAGCAGAGGGAGGTCTGTCCTGTCCCCGGGGCTGAGTGGTGGAGCTGGGCCACGACCAACGCTGACTGCCCTGAGATATTGTCACGACGCTGCGGAGGGGCCATCCCCCAGAGTCATCGCTGCCATTCTATTGCACAGGGTTCCAGAGCATGGCGGCAAGAAGAACAGTGGCGTCCCACGCAGACGGCAGCTGAGGCACAGACCTGCAGGGTTGGAATCCTGTCCTCCCCACAGAGGAGCCCATGAGCTTGGGTAGCTACCCTGTCTGTGAGGTCACACTGGACTCAATGGCCAGTGTTGCAGTGAGTCCGCAGAGCATTCTGCTCTGTGCTGGGGACAGCATCCCTGATGGAGGCGTGGGTCACAAAAGGCATCTATGGAGTTGGAGGCTCACTAAGAGTTAGCTGTTTCTTCTGAAAGGTGCCACAGGCATCTACTGGAGTTCCCACTTCCAGCTTTGCTGAGTGAGAATGTCTAGGGACAGCTACATGCTGGGTCCTTTGCTAGGCTCTTTCCCAGCCTTGGAGCAGAGAAACCAGAATTCTCTTCCTAACTTTTTTTTTTTTTTTTTGACAGGCAGAGTGGACAGTGAGAGAGAGAGACAGAGAGAAAGGTCTTCCTTTGCCGTTGGTTCAACCTCCAATGGCCGCCGCGGCTGGCGCGCTGTAGCCGGCGCACTGCGCTGATCCGAAGGCAGGAGCCAGGTACTTCTCCTGGTCTCCCATGGGGTGCAGGGCCCAAGCACTTGGGCCATCCTCCACTGCACTCCGGGGCCACAGCAGAGAGCTGGCCTGGAAGAGGGGCAACTGGGACAGAATCTGGCGCCCCGACCGGGACTAGAACCCGGTGTGCTGGTGCCGCTAGGCGGAGGATTAGCCTAGTGAGCCACGGCGCCGGCCCTCTTCCTAACTCTATCCTGCCTGCACCTGAGCCCAAGCTAGCACGACCCCAGCTCTGCAGCTCTGGGCATGGGTAGGGACCTGGGCAGAGCTGGTTCTTGGCAACCTCAGTGTTCGGAATGCTTGTGAAAGACGAATGCAGCCGCATCTCTACAATTCTGATATACAGAAGTGGCTTAAAGGCTTCATCCAGTTGTGACCGCATTTGCTGTGAAATGACGGTGATAAAGGGGTGTGTTAATGTCCCCCCAAGCCAGCCTCTGACATCACCATGAATGACATGGCAAATGAGCAGGGTGGCAGAGCCAGGGGTCTGACCCAGTGGGCACCACCACTGGACTCCAGTCTAAGCAACTGGGGGAGGGTGGCGTCCACGCTCAGTATGGAACTCAGGGGTGGGCGTTCGGCCTAATGGCTAAGACACTGCTTACGCACCCTGCATCTCACATCAGAGTACCTGGGTTTCACACCTCCTTCTGGCTCCTGACTCCAGCTTCCTGCTAACGCAGACCGGGGGAAGCAGCAACCATCTTGGTCCCTGCCACCCAGGAGGGAGATCTGGATGGAGTTCCTGGATCCTGGCTCCGGCCTGGCCCAGCCCTGCCTGCTGCAGGCATTTGGGAGCTCTCTTTCAATGGGCTTAGTCCCGTGTACACGAGTGTGACTGTGTCATTTTTACTTGAGACACCCTGGGCTGGAGCCGTCTGCACTGTAATGATTACACAAGAGATGACTTCAGAGCTCTTGAAGGCAGACACCCTGAACTTGACCTTTGACCTACAGCCCAGCTTAGAAAGCAGTGCTCTAGAGGCTAGCACTGTGGCATACCAGGTTAGGCCTCCGCCTGTGGTGCCAGCATCCCAGATGGTCGCTGGTTCATGCGCTGGCTGCTACACTTCTGATCCAGCACGGTGCTAACCTGACGGAAAGCAGCAGACGATGGCCCAAGTGCTTGGGCCTCTGCACCCACGTGGGAGACCTGGAGGAAGCTCCTGGCTCCTGACTTGAGACCTGCCCCGTTCTGGCCCTTTTGGCCATTTAAGGGAATGAACCAGCAGATAGAAGCTCTCCCCCCGTCTCTCCCTAACTCTGCCTTTCAAACAAATAAAACAACACAAAAACAACAAAGCAACGCTCTAGAGCATGGACACTCCTGAGGAAGCTTTCATCACTCAATCACAATCCGCCCAGACGGAGCCTCAGCCTCCATTCAACGTGGTGGGATCGCTGCTCGGCCTTTTGGCTAAGATCAAGTCTAACTCAGTGTGGTGGTTAGCTCAGCAGTCCTGGACTTGGGAGTGCTGGTGTTAAGGTCTTGTTTTGCCACCTGTTCTTCAGAGTGGCACAGATTAATGAGATAATGTCTCTGAATCATTCTACATCCTGATGCGGAAGCTCTCATGTGTGAGTTATAGTTGTTGTCCTGCTAATCTCGAATGATCTGAGGCAGGCGTTCACGTAGGTACCCAAGTAAGAATGGAGAGTCCGTGCAGCTTCTCATGACGTCCAGGGATCCGCTGAGTCTCTAACTGGACCTTGAGCTTTTCACTCCACAGGCGCCGCCTTCCGTTTCTGGTCAGGCTCTGCCTTCTCCACGTCTCGTCACCTATCTCTACTTTTTTCTCTTTATGTCCCCCTGGAGACTTGTCTGACTGGTCTTTGGTTCTTGCCTGATGACTGCAGAATGACAACCAAGTCTGCGGCAAATTCCTGGCACACAGTTCCGGAGACACAGCAGTACGCACGGGTCGTTAGTGTGGACTTTGCTGTTCAAAAGCCCTTCACAGTTAGGAAAACGGAAGGCGACTCTGTCCTTCCTTGCCAGGGTCCTGGCTTGCCTTCTTGGCTCTCGGCGGCTGGACTTCCTTTACAAGCCTGAAATAACCTTCCCCTGACACGGAGGTCGCTCCTGGAGCCGAAGCGCGGCCTGATGTATTTCTGTTTGTTGTTTCCAAGTCTGTTTGACCAACACAGTCCGTGTTATCCAAACTGTTCCTGGGCCTCAGCGCTGGCTTCTGGCACGGGGGCTGTGGAGCAGGCAGAGAGCGCTCGCTCTGAGCCAGCGCCCTGCGTTCCTGCCCACGTCTGTTTACAAGCACATCCGCCTGCGATGGCTCAGGATTAATCACGGCTTGTGATTGTCTGGAGACAATTGCGCCGTCTCCTCCTGAGCCTTTTCAAAGAACCGCGACTGACACACGCACCCGAGGTACCACGCGCTGACATAAACCCCCTTGGCCAAGAACACGAAGTCCCTTCACCCACGCTTAGTATTTTACTGACCAACCCCCACTGAAAAGCCTCGGGTTCTTAATAAAAATGTCAGCGATGCTGTATGTTTTTTCCCAGTCTCTTCCCCTTTCTTTGTAATCCCACGCTTAAACCCCTTCTGACCCAGTGGGATTTCCCAGTCCCCAGTGGTCTCTCGTGCTGGGGTCCTGGCTGACCTCCAGGACCTGCTGATGACACGCGGTGGAAGGACAGCGTGGGGCTGGGGGCGGCGGTCTTGGCCAGAAGCCGGCCCGCGCTGCCGGAGAAGCACCAATCGCTCACAAAGGCTCCTCGGTTACTTCCGCTCCGGCCCCATCCTGCCACCCTCCACTTAGTCCTTGTTCCCGTCCCCACCACACTGGCTTCCTTGTCTTTGCTAGGATGCTCTGCTCCACCAGCCGCACTCTGGCTTCTAAAGAGAACCCCGGAGGCTGGCGCTGTGGCGTAGTGGGTAAAGCCACCGCCTGCAACACCGGCACCCCATATGGACCCACTGCCCCACTTCCCATCCAGCTTCCTGCTGATGTACCTGGGGAAGCAGCGGAGGAGGGCCCAAGTGCTCGGTCCCCCGCACCCCACGTGGGAGACTTGGAAGAAGCTCCTGGCTTCCGACAGGCCAGCCCTGGCTGTTACAGCCATTTGGGGAAGGAATCAGCAGATGGAAGATCTCTCTCTCTCTGTAACTCAGTATTTCACATGAATAAAAGAAATATTTTTAAAAAATTAGAAAAAAAGAAAAAGAAAACTCGGAGATTCAGTAAGCAAGACAAAAACCCCAGTCAGGGCTCTGAGGGAGGGGACAGAGGAGAGAGAGGCTGAGCAGGTTGCTGGTGGGTGGCACAGGGTGGGGGGGCTGCCCTCAGCCCTCCTGAGCTCCTCTTCCTCCCTTAGCCAGCCCCAGGCCAGGGCTTGGCCAAGGCAGGACTCAGAAGGCCGTGGGAGGCCAGTGTGGGTCTGCCTGGGTGGTCTCCTGGCTGGGCACCCTGCACGTCTGAGCACTTTGCCTGGTGGAGATGGAACAGGTTGGCTTCTCCTCTTCCCTCTAGCACACTCAGTGTGAGGCCAGAGACTGAGAAAGCTGCAGGTGCACATGGCTCCTTCCACAAGGGAGCACCTTTGCAACTCTCAGGTGGGTGTGCACCCACTGAACGGCCCTGCTGCCCACTCTCGCCAGGCTCCATGCGCCGTGGATGGCAGAGAGCCCCGTGACACCCAGCCTTGGAGAGCTGGAAGGTTCTGTCATTTTATAAGTAGACACTCTAAGATAAGCATTTTATAAATCTTGTTTTTTAACTGCTAAAGCAACAGATCAGCAGTAAAGGCCTGGTTGAGTCATTCGTGCACGTGTGAGATGTTGAGAAGCCCAGGCGTTCTCCACTCCACCTGTCCTCCGCGATTAGCCTACTGCCTCCCGGCCCTGCATCTGGTCCCCAGCGGCGGGACTCCAACACCTGTTTTTAATATGCCCCTCAGATTCTCTGAGAAGCTCTGGTAGAGGTAATTTACTCCTTCACCAGTCCCCTTAGGAAGACATCCTTCATGGTCACGTCTCCCTCTGAGCCCCAGAAGCAGTCCCTGGGCCTAACCCTGGCAGTCTTCACTCACCCCAAACACTCGAACCTCAGCCACACGCACACACGCGTGCCTGCAGCCCCAACACTGTGGTGTGGTGCTTGCATGTTCTCAGAACCACACATGCGGGAGTTACTGTGCATGTATCGTTCTGAAACGCGTCTCCTGCTCCAGATTTGCTTGCTGGTACACGCAGCCTTAGCTCCTTTTCACTACTAGATGGTATTTATCACAGAAGCATTAAAACACTTTTGAGCGAGCCCGTGCTGGTGCTGTTTCAATAAAGCTGCCCAATTATGGAATGTTCAAGCTGCTCAGAAGTTTTCTTTTCAACTTTTATTTACTGGAAAAGCAGAGTGAGAGAGAGAGAGAAAGAGGGAGAGACACAGAGCTCTTCCATTTGTGGTTCACTTCTCCAAATGTCCGCAACAGCTGGGGTTGGGTCAGGCCAACTTCAGGAGACTAGAATTCCAGCCAGGTCTTCCACATGGGTGGCAGGGACCCAATTACTTGGTAAACACCTCCTGCATCAGCAGGAAGCTGGATTGGAAGCGAAGCTGGGACTCGCTCTCAGGCACTGATAGGGGATGCAGGCGTCCTGAGGGGTAACTTAACCCACTGTGCCCCCAGTGCTTGTTCCGCTGCAATATGTTAATGGGTCTAACGTTATCCTCTATTGATTTCTAGAAAGGCAGAGAGAGAGAGAGAGAGAGAGAAAGGGAGAGGAGAGAGGCACCTTCGATCTGCTGGTTCACTCCCCAAATGGCTACAGCCAGGGCTTGGTCAGGCCGAAGCCAGGAGCTTCTTCTGGGCCTCCCACGTGGGTGCAGGGGTCCAAGCACTTGCGCCATCTTCTACTGTTTTCCCAGGCACTTTATCAGCGAGCTGGATCAAAAGTGGAACAACTGGGACTCGAACCAGCACCCATAAGGGATGCTGGCATTTCAGGTGCCGACCTCTATGTTTATCCTTCAACAAAGCATACATGTCTGACTAGTGATAACCCCACGATACCTCAATCTAGATGTCTTTTTTAGCATGATGGACTTCTTTCTATGCTTCTATATACCAAAGTGAGTATTCTACATAGTTTTCCTTCATGTTTGTTTATCATGACTTACCTAGATCTACCTCTAGTATTTACACTTAGTATTCTGGGGGGACTAGATAAGGAGGACGTGGAAGTGTGCTCACTTCTTAGGATAAGTGTGCAGGAGCACAATGATTGAATCTAAGGCTGGGAACAGTTGTGTGGTCTCAGTACCTTTCGTCATACTGTTGTCCAGACTCCAGTTTCCATCTCAAGGTGGGGACAATGAAACAGCAGTCCTGCTTCTGGAGGAGTCATGACCTTGTTTCCAAACTCTGGGCAAATCCAGTACTGAAACAGGTTCCTATCATCAAATCTGTGGAAATACAGACAAATGTGCAAAGGTGGGTGAGATAGCAGATAGACAAGGGATAGCAAATGCCTTTGCTAATCAACTGATTCCAGATTTAATAATTTAAAAAAATCCCCATTATGTTGCTTGATCATGTCACTAACTTCAGTCTTCTCAGCTGTGAAATGGGAGCATAAGAGGAAGAATAACAGGGAGTCACACAGCAGGGTGTGTCATCCCTTCCCTGGGCAAGGCTTTGTTTGAGACACTCTGCAGATACTGGTGTTTAATCTTCAGACCTGCAGGACAGACACCATATGGATGATCAGCCCTCTTATATGCAGCCGAGGCACTGACACACAGAGGGGTTGCTCGACTTGTCCAGGGTCACAGCCGGCAAATGGTAGGGTGAGCCACAGCTCAGACAGTCTGGCTCCAGAGTTTATGCCCATAATCATTATACAAACAGGACAGTTCCTATATAAAACTATGTGTACACATAGAGAACACCCAGTGAATGCTGTTATTACTGTGATGCATTTTTAAAAATATTTATTTATTTGAAAGGCAGAGTTACAGAGGGAGAGGGAGAGACACGGAGTTCTTCCATCCATGGGTTCTCTCCCCAGATGGCTGCAATGGGTAGGGCTGGACCAGGCCAAAGTCAGGAGCTTCATTTGGGTCTCACACATGGGTGCCAGGGACCCAAGCACTTGGTCCGTCTCCTGCTGCCTTCATAGGCACATTAGCAGGCGGCTGGATGGGAAGTGGAGCAGTCGAGACTTGAATCTGTGCTCATATGGGATGCTGGCGTCACAGGCAGTGGCTTAACCCACCATGTCACAACACCAGGCTCTATTATCATGTATTTTTAAAAGCTGCCTGAACTAGGATAGGGCTGCTGGCAGAATGGATTTAGAAGCTATCAAAGACAAACAAGAGTCAAGCCGTGGAAGTTCCCGCCTAATTCTGGCTCAGTTGCAGGGGGGTGCAGGAACAGGGAGCGGCAGCAGGACTCCTGTCAAGAATGGTGCAGAGCCTTCTCACAGGTTGAGTGGAACAACCTCAAGTCTCCTTCCAGCTGTGAGGCTCTGTGGTTCTGGGCCAGTCTTGTTCTTTTTCCACATGGGAAAGCCTTGTTTGTTTTCTTAACATCAGGTCCAGTTTATGGACTTGGTTACTGCTGTTTGCGTTTCAACTGTCCGCATCACCGGCTGATGAGAACGTGACCGCGTGGTTTGTGCAAGCCGGCGGAAGTCTCTTGTGCTGTAATGGCTGGGCTGTTACCACACCTGGCATCGCGATGGCGGGAGCTGGGGAAACGGACCCACCTGCTCAGCCCGCCAGCCAGGACTCCAGGCTGTCACCTTTGTCCGGAGAAGGTGCAGGCCTGCGAGGTCATCACACGGGGATCAAGTTCACACCGCCAGGATGTGACTGCCGGTGGGAGCAGAGGCGGTCGGCAGGGGCGTGCTGAGTGTTGGGAAGCCCGGGCTGATCCAGGATTTTGCCTCCCTCTGCAGTTCTCTCTGGCAATCGCTGTCTTTACCTTCATGTTCCAAGCAAGCCCTGGAGACGATGCATAGTTTTTGGTCACCCTTGGGTCGATGCCGTAGAAGGGGAGGCTTGAAGGGTGTAGTGAGCTCCAGTACAGAGATGCTGGTGACGGGACTTGTATGGAGCCCACCAGACTGGCTCAGAGAGCATGTTCGTCTCAGCCGTGTCTTATGTTTTTGTCTTGGGTGCAATGTTTTAGTTTTCTGGATGTGTAGTTACTATGGAGATGGATGAAAATAGGAGTTTTGGGGGTCAAATTGTCAATAAATTTAGCCTACAGAAATAGGAGGCAGAGTCAGAGGGAAGGCCAGACAATGGCTTTTGAGAGAGTATTAGGAGATTTCACCCATAATGTGGTAGGGACGGAGGGGACCACGAAGGCCAAGCGCACCAGACATCAGATTCCCCTGGGTCTAAAGACAAGTGATTTATGGGGCTGGCGTTGTGGGGCAGCAGGGTTAAGCTGCCGCCTGCAATGCCAGCGTTCTATTAGGAGTACTGGCTTGAATCCCTGCTGCTCCACTTCCAATCCAGCTCCCTGCTAATGCACCTGGGAAGGCAGCAGAAGATGGCCCAAGTGTTGGGCTCCTGTCACCCATGTGGGAGACCTGGGTGGCGTTCCTGGCTCCTGGCTTCAGCCTGGCTCTGCCCTGACCATTGTGGCCATTTTGGGAGTGAACCAAATGCATGGAACACCTCTTTCTCTCTCATCTCTCCCACTTTCTCTTTCAAATAAATAAATCTTTAAAAGAGAAAAAAAAAAAATAAAGATCAGTAACTTGAAATGACCGGTGTGCATCACCATCGCTGGAACGCTGTCTTGATTCCTAAGGAGAACAATCTTTGTTTCAGTGGGACCGGTCTCCGACATGTTAGTAGCAACTCTCCTCAAACAGTGATTTCACCCTGCAGGTCACATATTTGTGTATTCTGTGTTTAACTTAGACACCTTGTAATGCAAATTTAAATAATGAGAAATTTGCTTTGCAACCTGACCAGCTCATCAACAATGATGAGCGTACATTTGGAACACGTTGTTTTGGAACTTCAAAGCAAGAGACAAACTGTCAATCATGACAGCATCAATTTCCCTGTGTTACTCATCAGGAACACAGCAGGATGGGCCAGGTCTCTGGTCACTTGGGACACTTGCATTAGAGGCCCCAGGACGCCAAGGACATCAGTGGGCGGTCAGAGTCACTGATTTTCATAATGGAAGCCGCGTAACCAACAGGAACACGTGTGTTTTCATACATAAAATAAATATGGAAAGATTGGCTTGGACTCAAAATAGTCCAGGTAAGCTTGTAGGACCAGATACCAAAAGAATGAGCTCATATTGTGGATTTTCAAAACAGAGAGATTCTTTTTCATTATGTCTATGTAAGAGTAAAGTCAACCTTTGGTTCAGATAATGCAAGCAGACTTAACTCTGAAGGGAGTTGACAAAGCTGGTCGAGAAATAAACACTGTGTGTTATAGCCAAGTACAAATGTCAGTTTATGATTTCATTTTTTGAAAAGATTTATTTGAAAGGCAGAAACACATAAACACACACACACAGAGAGAGAGAGAGAGAGAGAGAGAGAGAGAGAGAGAGAGAGAGATCTATCGTTTGCTGGTTCACTCCCCAAATGGTCACAACAGCCGGGGCTGGGCCAGGCTGAAGCCAGGGGCCCATATGGGATGCTGGTGCTACAGGCAGGGTCTTAACCTGCTGCACCACAGTGCTGAGCCCTGTGATTTTATTCTTTTTATTTTATTTATTTTTTTATTTTTTGACAGGCAGAGTGGACAGTGAGAGAGAGAGACAGAGAGAAAGGTCTTCCTTTGCCGTTGGTTCACCCTCCAATGGCTGCCGTGGCCGGCGCGCTGCGGCAGGCACACCGTGCTGATCCGATGGCAGGAGCCAGGAGCCAGGTGCTTCTCCTGGTCTCCCATGGGGTGCAGGGCCCAAGCACCTGGGCCATCCTCCACTGCACTCCCTGGCCACAGCAGAGAGCTGGCCTGGAAGAGGGGCAACCGGGACAGAATCCGGCGCTCCGACCGGGACTAGAACCCGGTGTGCCGGCGCCGCAAGGCGGAGGATTAGCCTAGTGAGCCGCGGCGCCAGCCTGTGATTTTATTCTTAAAATATACTTTGCTATAGAGATGGCATAGTTATAGGCATTGGATGTGAAAATTATTTGACAGATCCTATTTTGTGCAACATCAAAAAAAATATATCCTGGGCAAGCCAGCGTATTTATCATTTGTAAAGAAATTGAATGTGGATGGGGCTGGCGCTGCGGTGCAGTGGGTAAAGCTGCCGCCTGCAGCGCCGGCATCCCATATGGATGCTGTTTCGAGACCCGGCTGTTCCACTTCCGATCCAGCTCTCTGCGATGGCCTGGGAAAGCAGTAGAGGATGGCCCAAACCCTTGGGCCCCTGCACCCACGTGGAAGACATGGAGGAGGCTCCTGGCTCCTGGCTTCAGATTGGCACAGCTGCTGCAGCCATCTGGGGAGTGGGCCACCCAATAGAAGACCTCTCTCTCTGTCTCTGCCTCTCTGTAACTGCCTTTCAAATAAACAAACGAAAAGATTGTATGTGGAATATCTTTCTGGCAGATGACAAACTAATGACTTTTCTATAGACCAAGAGGCTGACCTTGGGATCTTCCTGCTCATGGCAGAGCCTGGGAGCAGGGACCAGGTGCTTCATCCACAAGGAGAGAAGCCGTCCCTCCCATGTGCTGGGGAAGGAAGTGCCGGGAGCAGCTTCATGTAAGTCTCCTGCTGTTCCGAGTTCTTGTAGACATCTTTTCCTTGCCTCTGATACCTTCTGTCATGGGAAGCCCTGCCAAGGCCTTACTTGAGAGAATACTTTTTTTTTTTAATGCAGAAAGAGCTGCCTATAGCTGTGATGAGTGTGGAAGTCCTGCTGTTCTCCAGTGGAGCCCTGTGGGTCAAGGCCAGCAGAGGTGACTCCTGTGAGGTAGCACCTGCGTGCTGAGGACAGAGCTGTGGTGAAGGGGAATCCAGCTGATGCCTTCTGGGGCCAACACTGCCTCATCGCTCCCCCGTGGCCTTGCCCACAGTCAGTGCCCAATGGGAGCCCTGTGCTACCCAATGCGGAAGGGGTATCTCTCACCCTGCTTCCTGAAATAGGAGGCACAAATTCCTCTGCGAATGGACCTTCTAAGGTGGGGGCAGGGTGGGGTGGAGTCTGCCTGCGCACACACTCAGATTACTCCAGTGAATGCGCCGACTGTACCCCACTGGCAGGACCGCAGGCCTGAGACGGATGTCACGGACTTCAGACACCCACCCTTCTGCCTTTGCACATGGAGGGCTCAGCCTGTGAGCCACGGGACCAAGGAGCAGCCAGTGATCAGGGGAGCGGGGCCGCCTGACTCGGCGGGCACTGAGCAGCCCCGGTGAGCAAGCCTGTAGCCAGGGAGATCTGCGCTGCTGTGAGGCTGTCTCCAGCAAACAGTGCCAAGCCTTCATACTGTCCCACAAAGCAATGGGGCGCCTCGCAGCTTGTCCTTATTGGGATGCATCCTTGGGCGAACTCCCCGACTTAACCCTGCACCTTCCACCGTTGGCGGACCTCACACTTTGAGGAAGCGAGGCGTGAAGCCCCGTGTTCTCAGGCCCACGTTGAGAGGTAATCCCCTTCCTAGAGTGGTCGTTACCCAGCCTGACGACTGGACAGCCGGGAGTCTGTTTCATGGAAGACCTGTACAGTGTCCTCCAAAGGCGGCTGCTCATAGAAAGGAAACCCTCACGAC